GATGCCAAAATAGGTTGAAAAGCCACCACAATTCGGAGTTGCAACGGTAGGAAACCGACATCCAACGGTTAATTTTGCATTACTATGCGACTGCATAGTATAAATCTATGCGACAGCATAGAACAATCCAAAGAGGCCCCAGAATTTCCTACAATAGGCCACGCGACTACATAGTATTAATCTATGCGGCTCCATAGAACAACGTTTTGCCTCTAATACCCTTTTTTGTTTTTTTCTTCATATTTATTCATCCCATTTCATTTTTTTTTTGAAAGTTGAACTCCATTTTAACAATTGTTGGCTATGTGCTCGAGAGTACCTTAATTTCCAAAAAAAAAAAAAATGAAAAATAATGTTAATCCTGTGTGCTTTTCAGGGCCACAGCATCACCAAGGAGTGGCTAATAGCTACATGGAGGTTATGTAAGTGAACCATTTTTGTTGAACAACAGAGAGTAAAAAATCAAGGAGCGAGCTAATATCCACCATCGCGTTGATCTATTGCTGCCGGGTTGACCAATATTTGTGACCGGTGAGGTGCTTTTCTTTCAGAACATCTGGAATTCTGGAAATATATGCAAATATTTCGACTTTTTAATGCTAGTTTGTGGAGTTTAAACTTTAATTACTTCCATTTGTTCCTAAAATGTTTAGTCATTGATGAGATGAAACAAAATTTTGTTAGTCACGGTAGAATGCTTTTTCCCTGGTAAGAAAATTTGCTGGGGCCGCTGCTTTACTGGTAAATCTTTCAGAAATTATTTCAATTCATGATTTTTTATGCAGTCTGTTGTTTATTGATGCATGGTTACCTGTCAACTTCGTGTGATGTTTTTGATACAGAGAAATCTTCAAAATATGTTTGGATTGGTCTATTTTGGCCATGGATGATATCACTTGACCTTTTGAGGCTGGCTTCTTGAGTTGACCTCCATTGACTGGTTGATTCTCTCTCTCTCTTGACTAACCTTATTGTGCTACAATGATCTGACTTGTCACCTTAAACGCATGAATCTCTTATAACCTTATTTTGTTGTGTAATTTGTAACCATCATTCATGTAGAATTTCGTATCTCAATCTCCTTTCCAACATCATCATGTAGCAGTACAAAAACTTAAAATTATAAATACTAAATAGTAAAAGAAAGGAAAATTCAAAAAAGAGATTTTCCTTGATTTTCGTAAAACAGTAATTAGTTGTTGGGCTTTGCTACACAAACCGAGCATTTGATAGGATTTAAAAAGAGTGAGACACGTGTCAAGCATTCATTGAACAGTTAAAAAAAGAGTCAAACAAGTGCTGACATGCATCACCTGCTCGCAAGTAACTTAACTCTTAGCTGTTTGATTCATGACCTTTGGATGTTTCAACCTCGATTGAATATATATTTAGTAGAATGATCTGAATAGGATTGAAAATTGAAGAAATATAATAAATTTTATCAATTGTCTTGTCCAATCATTTTAACCCAAAAGTATTGTTCTCGACTATCTAACATCTGTGTTATGGATGTTGTGTTCACAATGTTTTTGGTGCTCGTCTCTCGTGCTTCTCCTATAATAAATTAAATATATGGGCTGATTTAATGATAAAGATGCCAATGGGCACATATTTCACACTTTATCTGTGAAATGCATAGGCAAGTATTATCATACAAAAATAATAATATTATTACCCATAACAATAGCACTAATCTTTTATTTGTCGAGGTCGAAATCGAACGCAACAAGTCTATATTCAACAAATGCCATACTACTCGAATTGAAAAATATTGTCGTGGTCAAAGATATTTTGATATTTGTGCGGAGTACTTTTACCTAGTAATTTTTCTTTTATAATTTATATATAGAGGGGGATAATAAGTTGAATGAAGTTTCTCGTGACTGCTAACTTCAAAAAAAATGTTGAAACTCGTATCATTTTAATTGTCAAATTGATCTTAATTAAGTTTTTTTTTAGATAAAGTGGTTCAAATTTAGTTCATGATAAGTAAGGTTATTTTTCTTTTTTAATTGTTCGATTCTTAATGTTTTTCAACAAAATTATAATTATATCGTTCAAACAACAAAATCTCCTCCATTCATGCAACGTTCATCTTGCACTTATTTCATCCAGTTTGCATATATACTTGACAACAACAAAATTATGAAAGCAAAGATGATTCTAAAAGAAGTAAAAATACTTCGAAACTTTCGGGCACTTTCGTGATATATTTTAGATTCATAGATTATAATTATATGAAATCCTCTACATTATATAATTTTTAGTTACAAAATTATTGTAACAACAACAATTCTTAGACCTCTTAAACATTTTTTCACGTTTTAAATTATTTATAATCTTCTAAAGAATACAGTATAAGTGTTGAATTTTATGCACAATAATAATAAAGAGATGAAATAGAGAAATCAACACAAGAATTTATGGGTTCGGCAGTGTACCTACTTCCATGAGAGCGAAGCGAAGATAATATTGTTCAGTATGAAAAATAGGGTTACAACAGTATTATTTATACTAACCCTAGCCCATAAAGATTTTAAGATCCGTACAAGAAAATATCCCTGTATTGTATCGCGGAGGTGTTGCCCCCCACCCCCAACACATTCAACGTCCCTAACAACCAGACAATGAATTAAATCCGCACAAGATCGATGCCCGGCCTCGCTCTACTCCGTTCGGTGCGCCAAGCTCCCCTCACTCCACTCTGTTTCGACATCGGCCTATTTGATCCAGGTAACCCGTGTTTCACTCTATATGAACCACGTCCACAACAATCTGCTTGCCAAACATTGATGTCAATACAATTCACCAATCAAAAAAAAAAAAAAAAAAAAAAAAAAAAAAAAAAAAAAAAGGAAAAAAAAGAAAGAAAAAAGAAAAAAAGAAAAAAGGAGGAGAACTATTTGTTGGGTTTGGACCGACTTAAAGCGGATCATTCAAGAAAAAGAAACTGTATACCTTGGCATGGTTCTTTGTTCCAAATTTCCATCTCTGTTATTTAACTGTAAATAATTAAAATATATTAGATGAAGGAACCAAAGAATATTAACATAAAGAATAGCCCATGCAGTCCACGAGATGAAGTTTATTCTCCACTTGTCTTATTCTTCGTTTGGATTCTTTCTCCCAACCAATGGTTTTGTGTTCTATAGTTTATCTGTAAGTAGCACGTGGTTGAGTCGATATCAGTATAAGTAGCTAAAGAAGTAAAACCACTTTGTATTTTTATTTGATGTTGATTCTTTTTGACACTTTGCGATCGTCCCACCCCTTCTCCCTCGCCCTCTCTCATCTAAACGGTCATCACTAGCTGTTTTTCCATTCAAAGCCCATTCATCTCTCATTCTTGAAATTTCAGCCGCAGACGGCGGAGATTGGTGGCGGTAATAGTTGTGGCGGCCATGGCTTTGAATTTTCTTTCCCCAACTGAAATCAATTCCCTTTCTTTCTTGGACACTTCTAAATCTCGTTACAACCTTAATCTCTTAAAAAACGAAGGTAAGTTCCGCCTCACAAATCTCTTTCTTTAGGAAGATGTTTGAATGCATTTGTATATATATTCTCTTTGTTTGAATTGTTAATTATAGTCATGTAGGTTATTAATTTGTGCTGTGTATGTAATTTTAAGAAGTGTAGTTGTGTTTTTCTGTGTTGATATATAATGGGGATTGATATGAAGGTAGTGGGTAATTTTTTAATTTTGGTGAATGATGTTATAAAAATAGAATCAGTGCCATTACAAAGGTTCTTGTTTTTATAAATCATTTTTGTTTCCCGTTGTGAGCAGAAATAGCAGGAACGTTGTTTGAGTTTGGCTGTAAATAAGCTAAAAGTTACTTTTTTCTTTCTGGTTTGGATAAATTATATAACTCATGTCAATATACGTAATTTCTTCATAGATTTGATTAATAAAAAATTACTTATTCTAATGTTCACTTATTTACTTTCTAGTTTTGATTTGAGTGAATTTTGTGGATTTCTTCAGGTGTGTTTGCTTTGAAAATGAAGGATGCAAATACTGTTGCAAAGAGAGTCCATTGTTCTGCACAGCAGCCGCCTCCTCCAGCTTGGCCAGGGCGAGCTGTTGCTGAGCCAGGTCGTAAAAGTTGGGATGGTCCAAAGCCTATATCAATCGTCGGATCTACAGGCTCCATCGGAACCCAGGTGAGATATAAACCTTAGCATCCTCATTAAGATTCACTTCATAACAAATGCTTTGGACTATTTCTCTATATGCATATGCTTTTTGGGACCATGGTTGTGTATTTGGAGTGTGTTTGACTAAGCTTTCACTTTAACTTTTTATTGTCTAACATATTCGGATAAATTATGTTTTCGTACTTATTTACTTATAAGAAAACCTTTTTAAGTTTATCCAAACATGCTCTTGTTCTCAATTGTTGTATGGCTGATTTGAATATGTGATCTCGCGTAGCACGCCAATCAGTTTTTGTAACATGAACAAATTTGGTTGAGTGACGTAAGTTTGAAACTATTCGTCTTGCTTACCTCTTATTATCATGTATGGATAATAAGCATCATTTAAGCTTCCAGACTCAGTAAATGACGAACTTTTGTTCTGTGGTTAAATTCTTTGGTTGCTTACTATCCAAGTCTGTGCTGTGCAGACACTGGACATAGTTGCTGAAAATCCGGATAAGTTTAAAGTTGTTGCACTTGCAGCTGGTTCAAATGTGATTCTTCTTGCTGATCAGGTGATCGATAATTAATTTATGATACATCATAGAACTAGGAAATGCCAAGTGCTTGTAATTAAAGTACTTTCTTTTGCATTGCATTATTTAACCAACTGAATTAATCAAGCGAGTTATCTAATGATGCAGATAAAAAGATTTCATCCTCAATTAGTTGCTGTTAGAAATGAGTCATTAGTCGATGAACTCAAAGAGGCTCTGGCCGACATGGAAGACAAGCCTGAAATAATTCCAGGAGAGCAGGGAACCATCGAGGTTATCTATCATATGTGTCATTAACTTTTTTATTAGTTGCTAAATACTAATCTAGCTCATATATATTTTAGGTTGCCCGCCACCCTGATGCCATCACTGTAGTAACAGGAATAGTTGGCTGTGCAGGTTTGAAGGTATCTGCGCATGTTCCCTTTTCTTGAAATTTATTTGTACTTTTTTGGACCACTTATCTAGAGTTAGCCAATTCTTTCTTATGTGGCAAGATATTGCAGTTTCAACAGGTGAGGCTGATTTTCTAATTCAAATTGCATCCTGTTATAAAATTTAACTAAACAGACAAGGCTATAACTTCACGTGTAGCAACATAGATGCAATACCTTTCTGATTCCTCTTTCTTGCACTTCCCTGTTCTAGTATATATGTAAAATCACGTGTAAAATTGGTATGTGGATTTTTCTGGTTAATTATAAAAATTTACGATGCCCTTTTTAGATCTTTTCAACTAATATGCTGTTTCGCATTGATTGTTCACTTGAAGAAAATGATTCCTTACCTTTTCATATTTTAATTTTTGGAGATGGTGAATTTGAAGTTCTGGTTTTCTTTTTCTTTGCCTCCTAGAAACTCAACCACCATCAGAAATGAATGTTCTCTTCCGCAACAAAATTCACAAATAATTTTAAATGAAATCAGATCACACGTGTATTTGCTTTTATTAGCCTACGGTGGCTGCCATAGAAGCTGGAAAGGACATCGCTTTGGCCAACAAAGAGACACTAATTGCTGGAGGTCCTTTTGTCCTCCCCCTTGCACACAAGCATAAAGTAAAAATTCTTCCTGCAGATTCAGAACATTCTGCCATATTTCAGGTATGTCTCTAATCAGTTTGGAGCATTCTATATACTTCTATGCTCTTAAGCACGAGAATTAAACACCTGCGATATCAAAATTTCTTGTTATGTAAAACTCTTTTCTTGTAAATGCACAGCTTTTATTTGAAGTGTTATCCCATTTGTCCATTCGAAGGGTTAAAAAAGATATGTTTTTCTTCAGTGTATACAGGGATTGCCGGAAGGTGCTCTTAGACGCATAATTTTGACTGCTTCAGGAGGTGCATTCAGGTCTGTGTAAACTTTAATGTAAAAGGAACTTACATTTATGAAATCATACTTAATTCCTTACTGTCTGTTTTTCTGTTTCAATTGTGTTAAATCAAAGTTGATCATTTCTAATGTTGTGACTTATAGAGATTGGCCTGTTGATAAATTGAAAGAAGTGAAAGTAGCTGATGCTTTAAAGCATCCCAACTGGAATATGGGAAAAAAGATTACGGTGGACTCAGCCACCCTCTTCAACAAGGTAATTTTCAATGGTTTCATGTTCTGCGACTTTTCTCTGACACCTTCATTGTTCGTTAAAACTAAGTTAAGCACAATGACAGATTTGAGATATTTTATTAGATGATTTGTACTGATCAGGTAATTGTTACTGTTCCTTCCTGATAGGGTCTAGAAGTTATTGAAGCGCATTATCTTTTTGGAGCTGAATATGATGACATCGAGATCGTTATACATCCCCAGTCAATCATACATTCAATGATTGAGACACAGGTACGCTTATTTCCATCTTCTTTGCCACTTTCATGAGTTTTATACTAAATGTAATTTGTGCTGTGTAATATACTAATTGATTTCATTTGTGCTCTATATTATGAACCTTCACAAGATGTTTTCCATGTCTTGTTTTTTGCAGGATTCGTCTGTATTAGCACAATTGGGGTGGCCTGATATGCGTTTGCCTATTCTCTACACATTATCCTGGCCTGACCGAATTTCATGTTCTGAAATTACTTGGCCTCGTCTTGATCTTTGCAAGTAAATAGCTCGCCCTGTACATGAAGAATATAGTTTAAGTGGCTTAATTACCTAAGTACACGTTGACAATCGACTATCTATATATTTTCTGGTTGGTAGAACTGAACTTTTACCATGATGTTCAGGCTTGGGTCTCTTACATTCAAGGCTCCTGACAATGTGAAATATCCATCGATGGATCTGGCATATGCCGCTGGACGAACCGGGGGGACCATGACGGGGGTTCTTAGTGCGGCTAACGAAAAAGCTGTTGAACTGTTTATCGATGAAAAGTAAGTGTTTTTGAATCCTTTTCCTTATTTGTTGCCTTAGATTCTTGATTTTTATTCTTAAATTCCCATTCCTGATGTGGCAAAAAGGAAAATGTTCCATCAGTCGTGTACATTGTTTTAAAAAGCTGTCTGAGGTTTATGTTCTGATGTGGCAAAAAGGAAAATGTTCCATCAGTCGTGTACATTGTTTTAAAAAGCTGTCTGAGGTTTATGTTACATTAAGAAAACAGAAATCTAGTGTTTAAATTTTACGATATTTTTACTTGCTTGGTTAGTCATGGACTTTATAGCCCCGGTGAATAAGTTACAGCTAATGATCCATCTCCCTGTTGCAGAATAAGTTACTTGGACATCTTTAAATTTGTGGAGCTAACTTGTGATAAGCATAGATCGGAATTGGTATCTTTGCCTTCACTTGAGGAAATTATACATTACGACTTGTGGGCTCGGGATTATGCCACCAGCTTGCAACTCTCAGCCGGTTTAAGTCCTGTCCTTGTATGAGTTGTTGAAGAGAAAGACGTTGCATTCTTGGTTGAGGGATCGCGGGCATGAAGCAAATTGTAACATGGAAGAAAATGGAATTTGAGAATTTCTAATGGTTCTTTGGCTGTAATTGTAACTAATAAAACTGCATGAATTTGTTTCCTCAGTCAATGAAATATAAATTTCGTGGTCTTCACCATTATTCCAGCTCCTAAGTAGTTACTAATAAGTGAAAATTTCATGTAGGCCTATTTTTATATTAATATTATAAAATTCAATTAATTATATTCCCATACCCCCAAACACTAAGATGTTTGATTCTCATTTTTTCTAATATTTATTTCTCTCTTATTTTTAACCACACATTTTGAATAAAATAATATTACACTCAAATTCAAATATATTTGTTATTTTTAACCACACATTCTCCATCAATTTACCATTCAAAAATGCATTTTTTTTCTCAATTTAATAGGACTCAAACAAGTCCTAATATTCATTTCCCTTCCTGATTTTCAATCAACTCTCTCTCTCTACCCCCTTTTCGACTCTACCTTTTCTTCTCTCTACCTTATTGAGCACCGTCGTCGACAGCGATCTGCACGCCTATCATCCTCACTGCAAATCAAGTGATGCTTTGTTGTGGCAACAACTTCATCTTATAGTGATTTGTGATTCAATGTCGCTACAACTCACCGCACGGTGTTGATGGTACAATGGTGTTGATGGCACTGGTGGAGTGTGTTGCGTTGTGGGGCTGTGTTGGGGATGGTTTTGGTGCGTTTGTATAGGGTTGGGTTGTTGGTCTGTGTTGGACTCAATGCATTTGTGTTAGGCTATGTCTGTGGGTGGTGGCGATGCTATAGTGGCAGAGGCACGTGGGGCAATGAATGGTGGCGGCAGTGGTTTACATGTTTTGGTGGTGGTTTTTGTTGGTGGCAATGGTGGTTGATCTAGTGGTGGTGTTGGATCCACGGTGGATCTAATGGTGACATTGTTGGATCTAGTTGTGATGGTAATTTTGTTGATAGGCAATGGTGGCAATGGTTTTTGTTGATACAAGCGACAATGGCAATGGTTTTTGTTGACACATAGTGGTGGTGTCACGCAGTAGATATGGAAATTTTTTTGTGTAGGAGTTGTGGTTGTGGGGTGTGGTGGTGGAAGAGGAAATAAGGTGCTAGAATGGGGTGTGGTCGAGGTAGGGTTGGGAATGTGTGAGTGTTTGTGACCAATTATTTGGTTGATTTTAACGAATAAGTTGGTTAATATGTGATTAATAAATAATTTGTGATCAATTATTTGATAGATCGTGGCTAATAAATTGGTTAACTTGTAATCAATAAATAATGTGTGGCCTACAAAATGTGATTGTGATTCGCAATTTATTGTGATCGAGAAATTACTTGTTAGTAATTTATTTGATAATATGTTACCATTAAATAAGTTGTAATTTATGATTTTTTTGGATCCGTGATTGAAAATAATTTGTGACATGTACATTTTCTAATTTGTGGCCCAAAAATAATTTCTGACCTATAAAATTTTTAACTTGTGATTCAAAAATAATTTGTTCTGTGATCAATTAGTTTAGTAATTGTGATGTTAATATATTTAATTAATAAAATATATTTTTGATTAATTAATTCATAAATAAAATCTAATTAATATCTTTATTTTGAAAATAATTTGTTCTGTGATCAATTAGTTTAATAATTGTGATGTTAATATATTTAATTAATAAAATATATTTTTGATTAATTAATTCATAAATAAAATCTAATTAATATCTTTATTTTGAAAATAATTTGTTCTGTGATCAATTAGTTTAATAATTGTGATGTTAATATATTTAATTAATAAAATATATTTTTGATTAATTAATTCATAAATAAAATCTAATTAATATCTTTATTTTGAAAATAATTTGTTCTGTGATCAATTAGTTTAATTATTCCCTACTAATAACAACCATGTCAAAATCTGGCTAAACAGATCACAGGAGAAAGAGATCACCCAAAACCTCTCTTTATGTTGGTAATCAATACAAACTAGACTACATTTGCACAACATCCTCCCTGTGCTGCCCGTCACAGAGCGCCCGCTACTGCCTGTTCATAGATCGCCCTGTCTGTAAGTATTATGCCGTAAATTCAATCAATTTTGGACATAAATACTTTTGATATATAATTAATATAATTTAATGGTAGATCTATTATTTAATTAATAGACAATTAAATAAATAATAGAGTCCGTAGATTCAAATCTTCGTAATTTGTTAATCACAAGAGTTGTGATTGTGAGATACAAATTACATCTGATTGAATCTTAAATCGTCCGTGTCGTAAGTAATAACGAGGTACGGATATCGTTACTACGGATAGACCATCACATGTAGTATTTCTTAGTTGTGAAGTAAGTAACTGATCTCACAAACTAAAGTGTGGTGACACTTTAATGAATACGTGAATGTTTTGTTATAGAACAAAATATTGGAGACCCGTCGAGAGATTCCACATGGATAACTATCTGAGTGTCAGTGGTTAATCTTTAACGTTTGGTAGTGGAATTGGTCCTTTGACTTGAGGTCATCATGGTACCTTATATGAGGACAGTCATACTTTGGCGGTGTTGGATGTTGCTCTGCAAAGGGCTTCTAATACGATGTCGTTCGGGTACGTCAAGAATTGTATGAAGGTTGTGATTGATCAATAAAAGATTCGTCACTCTTAGATAATAGGATATTATGATCTGCATTTCATTCAATTAAGTCTATGATGAAATCCTTGGTCAATGTGTACTCATAAGTTGAAAAGGAGTTTTCGACTTATATTGACTCAATAGTGGAATGAAAGATATGATCGATGATCGAGATTGACACACTTCCATATCTCTAATTGATCGGATTATATTGACGAAGGGATTATAGTTTCACGGTAAACGAACGAGTTTGGTTTTGTTATACCACATGACATTTTCCGTCACATGTATTACCCTGACATATTGCTAGATATCAATTTGGGACGGCGAGTGTGAATTGACGTTGAATTAAAAAGGGTGTTTTAATTTATCAATTTTGATTAGATCAAAATTGTATTTCACGTCATTAGGTATCGTGATCGGGAACCTGATGGGTCACACACAAAAGAGAATTGAAAGATTGCACTTTGTCAATTAATTAATTTAATAATCGTTGGATAAATTAATTAATTGGGTTGATTATTTATATTTCCGAATTAATTAATTGGATTAATTAATTCATGAACCGGGTTTAATTAACTATTGGACTGAACCAGACCGAGTCTGTTGAAGTTTATATAAATACATGGTTAGAGTTTGAGGCCCATATGATTTTCATTATTCTTGCTGACACAAGAGGAAAAATCTTGGTAGCTGCAATCTTATTCTCTGTGTGGATCACCGTTGGAGGCTGGACAATTAGACAGCTGTGGGTGACGAATCAAGATTGCTTGAACGAAAAGAAAAGTAAAAGGTTTGTAGAATTCTTCAAAGGTACAATATTTATCACGATTTTTATTTAAACACAAAGGGATTCTCGGTGGGAATCGAAATAATTTTAATTTTTCGCTGTGCAACAGTGGTATCAGAACCTACTTTGTGTTTGTTAGAAATTGTTTTAATGGAACAATTAAAAGTTGATGTTTTTGTTTTCGAATCTAGCAATGAGAAATTTATTTTCATCTTCAAAATCTGTTTTGAATTAGAAAATAAAATTTAGGCGAAAGAAAAAAAAAGGTTTTTTTTTTTCGTGCAAGGCGGTGCTGCCGGCGGCGGGGGACAGGCAGCACGATAGTGCTGTCGCGCTGAGACAGCGGTGCTCGCTGCCATGCCGCTGCCGCCGTATTTGTAGAAGCGAGCTACTGCACGCGGCAGGAAGCTGCCGCAAAGGCGACTTCCTGCCGCGAGCTGGTTAACCGGCGCCGGCGTCACTGTCGGCGCCAAGGGGGGAGGGGAGAAGTAAATAAATAAATTGAATTAGGGTTTCTTAGTTAACGGGTGAAGGAGGTTGGAGTCGGGGGCCTCGTTGCAATTAATGTGATTGCAGGCCCCCGCGTGCAATTATGTAGAAAGGGGTCAAATGCAATTTTTTAAAGAAGGGCCTATTCTGCAATTTGCGAATTTGGAAGGTCTTGCTCATAATTTTTCAAAAAGGATTTGGATTGCAATTTTGAAAAGTGTTTTAAAATTGAAGTAAATTGGGTTTGACCCATATTTACTAATTTGGCCCAAAGTGAAGTTTTATTTAAAATTGACGACTTCCATATTTTTGTTAAAATTGGTTTTCAACTTAAATGTTAAACTTTGACCCCAATTAAATTTTATTTTATTTAGGAGTGTTATCCTAGTTTAAAATATTGATTCAATTTAAATTAGAGTTGGACTCTAATTTAGGACTTAATTAAAATTCGATTTTAATTAATTTTTCACCTGAAGATATTCGTGAAGTTAGAATTAGATTCTAATTTGATATTTAATTAAAATTTGATTTTAATTAAATTGTCTTGCCCTAAAATTTCATTTAAAATTATAATTAGACTCTAATTTGGTGTTTAATTAAAATTTGATTTTAATTAAAATAAGTTCGCCCTATATTCTTAGAATTAGAGTTTGACTCTAATTTTGTTATTTGATTAATATTTGATTTTAATCGCCTTGAATTTTGAAATTAGAGTTGGACTCTAATTTGATATTTAATTAAAATTTGATTTTAATTAAATAATCCCGCCTATAATTGTGAAATTAGAGTTGGACTCTAATTTGATATTTAATTAAAATTTGATTTTAATTAAATATGCACGCTAATTAAATTAATTGATTAATATGATTAATTAATTATTTAATTGTTCCAATCCATTTGTCTAAAAGAGTTTAGACGAATTAATTGCTAGAAACTTGAAATTTATTTGCATATAATATTAGATATTATATAGGTATACATTTATGTGATGAATGTATTATTAATGGACAATCATGGACTCGACCATATGGATGTGCTGAATGGTTAATATCTATTCTTGTCGTTTTTTTGGGTTGCCAGCTCTTAATTATTTTGGGCCTGCGAGCCCGTTATTATTGTTATTGTTTTGGGCCTACATGTTCTTGATCATTTTGGACCTGCGAGTCCGTTATTATTATTATTGCTATGGCCCTGCGAGTCCAATTTCATTTAGGCCTGCGTGC